AATTGGAAAGCTGTTGATGAATTTACAGACAGTGATCCCTCTGTCACAAGTTCACCCAGTGACCTGATTCATGAAAACATTTCCAAACCATCAGTGTTCACTCCTTGTTAAGGACCCCAACATCGGTGTCCCGACAGACTGATGTAAGCCACTTCATATTTGAGCCTGTTGGGCTCAATGGAATCCTGACCACAAACACTGGGCCCTGACATGAGGGGGTGCCTGATTCTGAAGGAATCAAGGACTCTGTATTAAATGTAGTGGCAAAAGGAAGAAGCAGGGTCAACACTCAAAATCTTGTGGGGAAATGAGGCAGGCTCAGAGTGGCAAGCATTGTGGTTTCCACTGGTTTTCCACTTCAGTGGCCATCATTACAATGGGCAAAGGAGAGCATTGCTTTTGTGAGAAGATTATTTTGACCCTGACTGCTTCTCGTGCCAAGCAATGCGCACGTCTGGAATATGTTGTTTCAGAAGCCCCAGTCTCTCCCGGCCCCTCTCATGCAGAGGGCATTGTAGGCAGCATCTCCTGCAGCAGAGGAATTTGTGCCTAGGCTTATTTTAGGTGTTTGTTTTCTAAATAATTCCCTCGGCATGTGCCAAAGCATTTAATTAGTAACTTTTAAAATAAGGGGGTCGGTTAAGGCATTCTTAGTTTTGGAGGAGAGAAAGAAACCTTTCTGTCCTCAATCCCACAGCAATTCTCCTTGGGCTCCCTTGTGGGCACAAAGGCAGCAGTGCTGGGGCCAGATCTGGGCATCCCACAACGGGAGGTTCCAAGAGGGATTTTCACAGTTAATGACCCCCCAGGTAGCTTCCGTGTTTATCCAGTCAATGTGTAATTGGGAGTTCCTGCTTGGGGACTGGAGTCTCTGTCGACAAGAACTTGAAGACTAGCTTCCCACTGGTTCTAAATGGGCTTTTATAGCAAAAACTCCAGATACAGGGCTTTTTCAAAGGCTTTATACAGCAATTAATGGCTGCAAGCAAATACCCAAACCTCAGATCCTGACCGAGTGCCAAATTCTTCACTGCTAGGGGAAACTCTAACAGCAGTGTTTGTTCTCTTGAGTTGCCCTAAACAGGGAATATTTTACTGCCATAAATAACTGCTTTTTGGGGGGGGGACAGGGGGGACAGGTGAGCCACAGCGAGATATTGTTGTTTTTGTTGTTGTTGTGGTTTTTTTTTTTAAGAAAAGAAACAGTAAACTTATTATGCCTCAAGAAATTTCCAAGGATGTCCCATATATTCCTTGCAGGAAATACTCTGTAATTTTCCTTACTTCCATGCCAATTTTCCTTACTTTTTATTTTAATGAATGAGGCTTGCAGTGATCCCATGTTAGTGCGTGTCTCTTTAACATTTTTTCCATATTGTTATTTGGAGACTGGCTTTCCCTGCAGACTTCTTTCCACCCACACATATGGTCGCTTGAAACTGGCCTTCCAGACAGTCTCCATGGGCAGGAGGGTCCGTGACACCATGACACTGGGGCGGGGGGTGCGGGGGGTGGGCAGGCCTCTGGCCACAGTGGCTCAGCCATACAGAGCAGTACAGACTCCCATGGGCTTGAACCCACACGGACGGACATGGGGTGGGATATCAGAATCCCACAGTCTTCGTTGTTCAGTAAGGCTTTCTTGTTATCTTGCCAGGAAGTGGAGACTGTTCTGTGCCACCCAATCCTCAGCCCGTGTGGTGGCCACTTAGGCGCACAGGCAGGGCTGGGGGAGGTGGTGGGGACAGATGGGAAGTAAAAAATTGGCGGACGGTTGGTGGTGCGACTCCTGGGTAGTGACATGTTGGTATTCTCTGAGACCCTCATCGGAAATCCTTCTGGCTTCAGGCACTGCCGTGGACCAGGGCAGTGAACGTGGATGGGAGTTTTGGCCAGGACTGAGTGTTGTGGGGTTCCGGGTCCTTGTTAGAATCCTCAGTCCCTGTTGGCTAGACTCCTGGGGGCTCTAGTGGGGAAGTCTACCCAGGACCACACTTAAAATAAAAAGGCTACTTGTCATGGCCTCTAAACTGTTTCCTTTTTTGAGCTAAGTAAGAAATAGCCAGCCAGCCCAAGCTCTGGGGAATGTGGAGTCCTGGTGTAGGGTGTGGGCTCCAGTGTCCTCCCCTTGGCTACTGGGTGTTGGCCTTCCCAAACTCGGTATCCTCACGTGTAAAAGGCAAGGTGGCTCTGCCCACACTGAGGAGTGAGCAACCGTCAAGGGAAGAGCCCCAGCCCGCACTACGTGGCCAACACATGTCCGCTGTTGCTACTGGTTCACTTCTTCGGGCGAGAATCATGAACATGGCCTTGATTGAACGAGACTCCTCAGAGGCAGGAGAAGGAGGGAGGCTGAGGAGCAGAGGACGTGGGGAAGTGTGGAGGCAGGGCCAACACCGAGGGGACTGGTGAGGCCCCCAGAGGCTGCTCCCCGGGAGCAAGAGGGAGGAGTGAGAAGGGCCAGTCCTTCCTGCCCGGTTGGTTCTGGGTCCAGCTCTGAGTCGTCACTCGGGTCTACTCCTTTCCACCCCTTATCACCAACTCCTGCCCTTCAAGCCCGGATGGGCAGGGTTGCCCTCCATGCTCTTCACTCTTGTGGGCAGAGTCCTTCCAGAACCAACCTGGACGGGCCTGACAGATAGATACTTGCCCCTTGGCCCTGGCTGCCTGCTCAGGTGAGGCCCCTCTGTACAGGGCAAGGACTTCAGGCCTCTGGCAAGGGGACCAGCCCCACAGCGGTGCTATGTGAGGTGGAGGCTACTGGGGTCTAGTGAGTCTGTCCTGAGACCAGAGCCACCCCCCCCTTGGAACGCCCAGCAGCTCCCAGACACACCTCAGATGCACTGGCTGGGGAGGGGGCTGCAGTTAGAGGAAGACCACCTCCCCCTCAGGACAAGCGGCAGAGCATGGCCAAGGCCAGGTGATGACCAGAGTCCCCCTCACACCCCTCCTTGAGACTGCAGACTGCAGCCACCTAACCACCTAACCAGGTGTTTGCCCCACTTGGTCTCCCCAGCTCAGGACACGGGTTCGGGGGGCTGGGAAGTGCAGAGGAAGAAGGGAGGAGTACCGAGGGTGAGATGGGCTCAGGCGAGGTCCTTCAGCCTGAGGCCCGGGAGGAGGTGGGATGAGGGGCTGGGCCATGTGTGCGGACAGTGACCATGGTCAGGACCCACAGCTGGCGCAGCAGAGCAGGGCACTCTCCCTGCAAACCTGGGGTTTGTGGGCAGTGGGGGCTGTGCCCATGTGGTCCTGGACAGAGCGCAGCCCTGGGGGGTTCAGGCACAGGCCAGTGCCCAGCAGAAGGAGGGGGGGCAGGAGGGGCAGGAGGGGCCCAGGGAGGAGCAACAGGATGTAACAGGGGCCTGAGGTGTGCAAGGAACCCGGCGATGGAAGGAAGGAGGCCCAGATAACCCCACATCTTGGCAGCTGGCCTCAGCCTGCCCTATAAGGGCCCCAGGTGTGCACCAGGCCGTCCCCCCACCTCCTTCCTGCCCATGGAAACCCTACCCAGAATCTCTGTGTGTGGCCCCCTCACACCCCACCCCAGAGGCCCATAAGGCAGCCAGCAGAGACACCCCATGCCGCTGAGCGCTGCAGACTGAAGCTGGCTGTCACACACCCGTGGCACTGAGCCCGTTAGGACTTTTGTGGCCGTATGTTATTTGTCACCGCATCAGCAGCACCCACCCTGGGGCCTGGGTCGCTCACTTGCTCCACCTCCCCATGAACAAGGGTGGCGTGAGCCTTGCCCAACAGTGGGTCCTGATCTGGGGGGGGTGGGGTGGCGGTGGCTGTAGACAACAGGTCCCTGTCCCTGCCAAGACAACAGCCTAGAAGGGAGATGGATGATAGCAGACAGGTTCACCAGATAATTTCAGAGCGTGGGAAGAGCCATGAGAACAATAATAAACAGGACAGTGGGGTGGGGGTGACTTTGGCCTGAGGTTTGGCCTGGGCTAAGATGAGCATGGTGAGAAGGCAGAGAAAGTGTTCCAGAAGGGGGTCACGGGGGACTGGTGGCAAGGGGCAGGACTTGGAGCCTCAGCCCTTTTGCAGGGAAACGGCCTTCTCCACCTGTGCCCGCCTCCTGGTACCCACCAGGCACCCCCTGCAGGGGCTGGCCAGCATCCTGGTCCAGGATACAATGATCTCAATCAAAGGGGAGTGGTAGGCACTCTCAGGAAAGGATGAAGGGAGGATGCTCGAGTCCTCCAGAGAGCCGTCTCAGTGATCTGATCGATGGGGACTGGAGTAGTAGATGTGCGATGCTTGAGGCCTCACCCCCTCACTTGGGTCCCCAGGGCCCGACTCCTGGGGGGAGGAGAATGCACGAGGCTTCACCTGTCTCCCCTGAGGCCCCAGACCTGTGCCCTCTGGGGCATAGAGATGCCAAGAATGAGGTGCCAGACACAGAAGGAGCTCCGGGGGGGGGGGACAGGCATCCCAGGACGAGGACACCACCTGCCACAGGTGACCCAGCACCAGCATGGAAAACTCCTCCCAGTCTTCTCCCTGGGGAGGGGCCCAAGAACATCCCTGCAGTCTTGTCTTGGAGACCCCCAGCCCTGTGCAGGCCTGCCCCTTCCTGTCTTGCTCTCTGCTCCTCAGCTCCACAAGGGTCTGGTGGTCTCTCTGTGCCTGGAGAGATGCCGGCTCCATCGGGCTCTTCACCCCCAAAACACAGCCTGGATCCTTGGGCTTCCATCCAGTCTGTCCTCAGAGACCCCGGGCCACTTTGTTAGGACCGTTGGTGGGCATTTGGGATGCTCCCGGAGCCCTGCTGTTAGAATCGCTGGACTTTTGTGGTGCAAGGTAGGAGTGGGTACAAGGGTCCCTAGAATTCCAGTTCTGAACGGGCAGCCATTTGTGGGCTGCCTCCAGTCAGCCAACTCCTCTGGTTGTCCCCAGAGCCCTCCTCCCCTCCCCCTCCTCCAGCAGGCCAGCCCTGTTTTGGTCCACTCCGGTTTTCTAGTTTCTGCCCTGGAGTACTACGACCGATGCAGATCCAGGCCTACTTGGATCTGGATCCCCAGTCCCTGAGCTGGCCCTTGGCCCACGGTGAGCTGCAGCCCGCCTGCTTCTCTGCCAGGCCTCTGATGTCCTCATGCCTCAGCATGCCTGTGCTTCTGCCCCAGGGTGGTCCTGACGTGGTCCCTGCCTGGATGAGCTGCAGGGCAGGCTCCAACAGTCCCCTGCCACAGTCTGTGCTCTCAGCCGGAGAGACGTGATTCGTGGCCTTTCCACCAACACCCCCCCCATCGGTGCTCTTGTGAACAGCACTCCTCCCAGCTGGCTGCCAGTTGCCTGCAGCCAGAGGTGGACATTCTGGTTAGGCCTCCCCTTGAGCCCTCGCTGCCCTTCCCTCTGCAAACCGCCCCCCCAGTATCATTCCCTGTGACAAACTTGTGGAGCCTCAGGTAGAAACCAATAGTAGGACAATCCCCTGGACTCCATGTCTCATCAGGTGTATAGATCAAGAACAGAACCCATCTTGACTGGCTCAAGGTTTTCAGAGAGTCCTGGTAAATAGATAATGATGGATAAAGGAGGGAAAGAAAAGAAAGCCTTAACTCCCCTATTTCTACTGAAGTCTGAATCCTAAGCCAAGCGGTCTTCCTCAGTTAAAATCACTTTGAATGGGGAGCTATCTTGAACCGCAAACACTGAAGACGGAGGATGTTTTAAGGGGATTTCGGAAATGGGGGTGGGGGGAGGGGAATGGAAAGGTGCACACCACCACCTTGGTTTGGGGGGGAAGAAAGGGTGAGGGTCTCTCTGTCCCCCTTGTTTCTCTAGACACTGCAAGGCAGGCCTGACCTTGACGTTCTTACTCCGTGGCCAGGGATGTACTGAGCCCACCAAATGTGTATTAAAGTCTCTTTGTCTCATCATCTGGCAATATGCATTCGTACCATTCAAAATGTGGGCGTTGATATGAATATTTTAATATTGTTCTTAGATGCAGCATTTGAAGTAAGTCTCCTTAATTAGCTTGAGTTTTGGAAGGTGTTCGAAGAGGAAGAGGTTAGCCAGGAATGCATCATTGGCCCAGCAGGAGCCCCGCCCACCTCCACGCGCGCCCTGCACATGCGCACCATCCCCTCCCTTGCAAGCGGAGCGCCGGCCAACAAACACAGGTGCAGAAGCCTCTCCTCCTGGAGCGGAGGCTGCTTCTCTTTTGCTGGAGCTCATTCTACCCTTGGCCGCTGGACTTGCCCCAGTGCCAGGAGGGCAGTAGGGTGCTGGCTGACCTGGCATAACAGCCTTGAATATACGCTGCAGTCCTCTTTCCACTTGAGAAATTCATCCATATTGTTTTAAGTTTTCTTTTCATAACATGAATGACACCAGCTTATTAGCGAAACATTAGAAAATAGGAGAAAGCAATAAATGAATAGCAGCTCCCATCCCTCTATTCAGATATTCCGAAATGTCCTCCAATTATACACACATACACCTGACCATCCATTTCTAGCTATGATGGTTATGGTCTGAAAGCTTGTGTCCGCTCAAATTCCTATGTTGAGACCGAATCTCCTGGGTGATGGGATTGAGAAGCGGGGTCTTTGCTGGGGGGGGGGGAGCGGTGATTAGGTCATGAATGGGAGTTGTGTCCTGACAAAAGAGACTATAGGGAGCTCCCTCGTCCCTTCCACTGTGTGAGGACAGGGTGAGAAGTCACCATCTGTGAACCAACCAGGATATCCTCACCAGACACTGAATCTGCCAGCACTTTGATCTTGGACTTCCCAGACGCCAGAAATATAAGAAATAGCTGTTGTTTATCAGCCACCCAGCTTGTGGATTTTTTGTTATAGATACCTTGAACAGACTAAAACAGCCACATAACAAACCATTCCCCAAATTTAGTGGCATAAAAGAGCCATTTATGATCCTGTGGGTCAGGAAAGGAATTTGGCCCAGGCACAGTGGGGATGACACGTCTGCTCCATAATGTCTAGGGCCTCCTCCGCTGGAAGACTAGAAGGCTGGGGGTTGAAAAGTCGCAGGAAGGCTCATTCCCTCGCATGGCCGGAAGTTGGTGCTGGCAAGAAGTTGCTGTCGGCCTCTTCAAGTGCCCAGGGTTTCCTCACAACATGGTGGCTGTGTTCCAAGGGCTTGTATCCTGAGAGATGGAGAGAGCCAGGTGGAGAATAGCTTTTCTGACCTGGCCTCAGAAGCTACTATTCCAGCGCATACTATTAATGGAAGCAGTCACAAAGACCTGCCAGGTTCAAGGGCAGAGGAGATAGACTCTAACTCCAGATGGGGTTCTGGAAGAGCATGCAGGAATATTGCTATTGCCATTTTGGGAAAATCCAATCTGCCACATTAAACTTAAAAAATATTCATACTATACATACCATTTTTGCAGAACATTTAGTTTGCTACTTTTTTTTATTGAGGTATAACATTTGCACAGTGATGTACTCTAATCTCAACTATGCAGCTTAATGATTTTATAAGTGTAGAAACCAATGAACCCAGCACCCAGTCAAGATAGAGAACATTCCCAGCAGCCTGAGGCCTCCCAGGGCCCCTTGCTTGTCAATATGCCCCACAAACCCCCAAGAGGTATCCTTTATCCTGACTTTATCACCAAAAATAAGCTTTTTTAGGCTGTGTTTTTCCCAAATGTATTATTAATGGCTTCCTATGCCAGTCTTCACTTTGGATGGCTGCACAGTTCACAAATTTATTGAATATTATAGTTTCTTTAGCCAGTAACCTGTGGCTGACCTTTAGGGATTCTATGATTTCCGCCAAGGAAAATCAAATGATCCTGGGCTGAGAGCCTGTTCAACGCACTATTACCCTTGACCCACCTCCTAAAAACGACTGGATGCCTTCACCCCAGCCCCGGACTTTTTGGGAGACCTTTCTGGGGCAACCAGAAAACACTGGTTATGAATGGAGAGAAGACTTTTGGCCATGTGGATGGACCATCTTCGGGTTGGCCTAGAAGGAGGATTTATATCTTTATATCTTTGTCACCATTTTAGCATCTATGGAGAAATGGAGCATGAACAGCATGCCCCGAAGGCTGAACATATGGATTTCCACTGTAGCTTGCTGGTCCCCTTTCCATACACTCTCTCCCCTGTTTCTCTGCTCGCTCGTAGCGGATGGCATTTCCCACCTGTGTGCATCACTTTCAGAATGCTTATGCTGAAATCTGCTTTGTAATTAAGTGGCAGTGGCTCTTGCTTTATAGACTGTCACCGTCTGAGTGTTTTGTTTCCTGTAAGGGGTCATCTTATTGCCCACAATCACCAAAGATGAAAGGGAGGAGAAGAGAGGACGTGAAGAAGAGGGAGAAGCAGGGAAGGCTTGGCAGGAGGAAGAGGGGGCCATTGTTCTCATTTTGCTGGGAGGGAAGTGCAGGTGTGTGGAGTCATCTCTCACCATGTTAGGTTTACAAATAAAACCACGGGTGCTCAAACACAGGATGCAGACTCTCTGTCGGCAAGTCGTTCTTTTTTTTTTCTCCTAAGGAAAATTAAATTCCAAAAATATTTGCACTGACTTTAAAAAAAAGTTACTCTTCATATCTCCCATTTTTAGCTACATTCCTCATTTGTATTGGAGTCTAAGCTTCTCTTTAAAAAGTTGAAATAGGAACGGAAGTTATCCACTAACGCTGAAGCCAAAATTAGAGAAAACATCATGTAAATGCAAAGAAAACACTACATGGGAAGACAGGAACAATGGAAAGGAAACCCCTCTCTCATTTGAGTGTCACTGAAGGCAGCCCCTCAGAAGTCCCCCTCCCGAGTGGGGCTCATCTGGTGGGTGGGAATGGGCCTACAGTCCGAGGGGTGCGGTGCTGTCTTGGGGATGCAGGTAGGGCCAGCATGAAAGGGAAGCCCAGGGGAGAACTCCAGAATGGGATGAGAATGCTCCCCCGCTAGAATATCCGAGGGGGCAACTAGGGGCCGGCAAGAAAGCAAGCCTGCAGATTTTCATCCCAACCCCGGTCCTTGCAGATTTGCAAGAAGGACATCCACAGGTAACACCTTTTAGAAAGGCGTGGAGCAATGGATCCCAGTGAGCATCCAGAGCAGGGAAGAAGAGCAGGAGACGATGCCTTTGGGATCCAGGGACTGGACCAGCTGGTGACAGGTGGGCCTGGGCTCCTGCCTACCATTAAAGATACGGTCACACCTGCTGGAGTTGTGCAAGGCCACAGCGCCACCGTGACAGGACCCACCACCCCTTCTGCCACCTCTGCCACGCTGGGCGGTCACCAGATCCCTGTCTCCCTGCAGGGGGGACCCCAACGTGGGGACCACCTGCCACGTCACCCTCGGTTCAGCAGAGCAGAGGTTTGCCATGAGCCCCCAGGTAGTACCTTGCTGCCCAGTCATAGGCAGCTCCAGGAAGGGTCCGTAGCACAGCAGAGAGGACTGGGCTGGACGAGAGCTGAGGGACCCCGGCGCTGGGTCTGAACCCTCCACTCCCAAGTCGGGGCCCGTAGGCTCTGCCTCTTTTTCTGTCCACCCTGGGGGTGGAGACCAACACCTCTTTTTGGCCTGAGACCCCACTTCTTCTTGGCTGCTGGAGGACACCCCTCCAGCAGGCCTCCCGCTCCAGCCCCAGCGATTTTGAACTCCCTCCTGGATCACGTTCGCCAGCTGGAAACACATGGCTATTTCTCTTTTTCTCACGTCTTAAAGACCAATGTCAAAACAACACCACCAAAATCCTCCCTTGACTCACTTCCCTTCGGTTACTACTATCTTCCTCCCTTTTCCAGAAAATTCCTCAAGGAGTTGTGTACACCTGCCATCTTTGGTTCGCGTCTCCAGTCTCTCTAGAAGGCAGTCGGGCTCTCACCCGCCTGCATGCCGCCAGTGGCGCGGGGCCAGGGGGGCACTGCCATCCATGCTAACGCATGGGTCTGCGCCAGCCTCATCCTGCTCTTTCACACGGAGGCCGACCTGTCCCACTGCTGTTCCAAGTCCCCTACGACTCCCTGGCTCACGCAGAGACAGAGCCAAAGTCCCTCCAATCATGCGAGCCGACATGACCTGGCCCTGCTCCCCCGGTGACATCACCTCCCCTGCTCTGCTGGCCTTGGGCGCCCTCCCCGCCAGCCTCGATGGCCTCCTGGCTGGCCCCCGCCTCACCGCCTTGCCGTCCCTCTCAGGGCTCCCTTCACAATCTTAGGGAGCCCCTACCCACCACCCACCCACCCACCGACCCTATTTAAATTGCAGCTTCCCCGGGGGGCACGTCCTATCCTCTCTCCTGCTTCGTTTCTCCCTGATCATGTATATGTGTGTATGTCACTTGAGTGTCCTGTTTCTGCCCGCCTGCCCCGTTCGAGTGTCACAGAATGTCCGCTCCATGAAAGCAGGGCGGTGTGTCTGTTCTGTCCACCCCTGCGTCCCCGGGGCCCAGATGGAGCAGACGCAAAGTGGGCTCCCTCTGCAAGTGAGTGAACAGCACCCCTCCCACCCTCACCCTGCCCAGCCACCGGCACCCGGGGTGGCTCCGGCTCTGGACGATTCCGGGGTATCAGGTGTTGGAGAGTACAGCGCAGCTCAGGGTGGACCCCCCCCCCAAAGAGCAGACGTGCGAAGCCTGCGGGGCTCTCGAGTCACACACAAAACCATTCAGACTGAAGTCCGAGAGGCAGGCCGGCCACCATCAATGAGGAGAGGATGGACAAAACGACAGCTCTGCCAGCGCTTCCGAAGGGAACAATTTCAAGGACACTGTGTTCAAAGAGGCGTGAGGGGGAACTGGGGAGACCTGTGAGGTTTTGCAAGGCCGGCACTCTTCATGAGCCTGTTGGAGAAATCAAACCGCAAGTGAAGGGCGCAACTTAGTCCAGGTGGGGACATGCTGGGACTACGTCCTCCTACCGTGGGCTGTGCGTGCTGGCAAGTCACTTAGCCTCTCTGCACCTCAGTGTTCTCATCTGTAAAATGGGGACAGCAATGGTATTTGTCTCCTATGATTATTCTTTGCATTAAATGAATATATATACATGATATACACACGTGTATATACATATGTACACATACTGTAGATTGATTGATCTATCTATTCATCTCTCATCTATCTACCTACCTCCATAGTTTAGAACAGTGCCTGGCGTGTAGTAAATACCACTGAACTATTTGCTATTAATATTATACAAGCTCGCAAAATTATGCCAAAAAAATTAACAATAGATGCCTTCATCTTTCATTTTAAGAAGTAGCTCAGAGTTGCCTATCAGGTAATTTTTAAAAATATAGGACAAAATGAAATTTTCACTTATGAATCTTTAGAAATGGTCACAACTGTTTCCTATTTAAAGAAGGTTCCAGGGGCACCTGGGCGGCTCAGTTGGTTAAGTGTCTGCCTTCGGCTCAGGTCATGATCTCGGGGTCCTAGGATCGAGCCCCACGTCAAGATCCCTGCTCAGCAGGGAGTTTGCTTCTTCCTCTCCCTCTGCCCCTTTCCCCTGCTCATGCTCTCTCTCTCTCTCTCTCAAACAAATAAAATCTTAAAAATAAAATAAGATAAAGAAGGTTCCCGTCAAGCCTTTTTTCCACTATCGACTGTGGAATGTGGTCTGCCTTTACTTGATTCACGTTAGGTGACTCTACCCAGACCCTGTCACCCCCTGTCCGGCCAGGTGAGTCAGGACTAATGGGGGGAAATGCATTCTTGGGAGAGGGGCAGAGCCAGGAGTCGGGGAAGGAGGAGGTTGATGGGAGGCCCTCAAAGAAGTGCTGAGTGCGGGCTCAAACAGGGCTCCATCCGCTGCTTCATTTTATTCATCCAACCACCTTAATGTGCCTTTGCCACAGCTTGGAATCCCGCCAGACTTCTGGCACAAGCCTGGACAACAGGCTTCTGGGTCCGGACAAGATGGAGACCAAACAGGTGCTACCCTTGCCCCCCAACCAGCATCAGCCTTGGAGACACCTCAGGAGAAGGAGCGAACACAAATCTGAGAAGTCCTGAGGAGACCCGAGGCTGATGGGAACTGTGGGGGGGTTGGTGATGGGGGTGCTGAGGGGGCAGGCACAGCCACGAGGGCAGAGGGCAGCAGGGGAGGGGGCTGGGGGAGAGCCCAGAAGTTCTATTTCTGTCCCTGCCCCACTTTGCCTTGGGGGGACGGGGTCCGCCCCTCTGAGATAGAGACCTGTGAGACCAGCAGCCCAGCCCAGTAGCTTTGTACTGGGGAGGGTCCGGTCAGGACTGGCCCCAGTGATGCCGCGTGAGGAGCTGATGAAAGTGGGTACTGTCTGATCAGCCTTCCTCAGATACCTCCTCACCTCCTGCTCTGCTCCTGGCACCTGAAAAGCCCACCTCCTCCAGGCGCCACTGACATCTAGGAGTCAAAGAAAATTCCGGAGGAGCAACAACAATTAAGGGTGGTTGGTAGTAATTTTATGGTCTCAGGGCGCATCCCTCCCTCCCGCCAACCACTCTGGGAGGGACACAAACACCCAGATCAGGGCCTGGGTGGCAACTCCTCCCCATTACCTGTCCCCAAAAGAACAGGAGCCCAGAGGCCAAAGGGAAAATGAAGTCCAAGAAGCACAGCCTCTGTCGCATGAAGACTGTGCCCCGACTGCCATCACCCAATGGAGCAGAATTTTCAGGCAGATCCACAATTTTAAATAAGTGTAATACATATTCTCAGCCAAGGGAGGGTATTAATAATATACAGCAGAAACAAGAAGTCATAAAAAGAAGCAGAGAGAAAAATATAAACACAGAAAAAAGGATAATGATAGATGGGACTCGTACACAGATGTTTTTGGCAGGATTGTTTGCGGTGGGGAGGGGCCGGCATCCGTTGGCATCTGTCTCAGGGGAAGGGGTGAGTCAACCATGGAGGTGCACCTGGGACTCTAGGCCCGGGGTCCCATTAGAAGCAAACGCCTAGATGTGCACACAGAAGCAGAATTAATCTAAAGGACAAGGTACTGAGTGAAAGAAACCAAACAAGGCCAACAGAGTAACTTTTCTTATGTAAACTAAAAATTCAAAACAATGTTTTGTGTCAACAGATGAGCGGATGACCAAAATGTGGGCTAGCCATACAATGGGGTATGATTCAGCCTGAACAAGGAGGGAGATTCTGACACTTGCTACAACACGGATGAGCCTCGGGGACATTAGGCTGAGTGACCTAAGCCAGTCATGAAAGGACACATACTGTGTGATCTCACTTACAGGAGGTGCTCGAGTAATCGGGACTTACAGAGACAGAAAGTAGGGGGGTGGTGGCCAGGGACTGGGGGAGGAGGGAATGGGGAGTTGGTGTCTAATGGGGACAGAGGTTCGGTTTGGGAAGATGAGAAAGTTCTGGAGACGGATGGTGGTGATGGTGGCACATCAACATAAATGTACTTAATGCCCCTGAACTGTATACTTAAAAATGGTTAAACTGGTAAATTTTATGTTAGGTGTATTTTACCACAATAAAAAAAAATAAAATTAAAAAATCTAATGAAGAGGGCACCTGGGTGGCTCTGTCCACAAACACCTTTACCTCTGTCTGGGGTTCCCCTTCTCCTGTGCAGGGCCTGGCAGCCTGGAGCGCAAACAGCGGCTGCGCGGGAGGCCATCTGGCCACGCCCCCTCCCACACCTGTCACCAGGCCCGTGCCCACTCCTCCCCGCTGGCTGGTGGCTCACAGCTGGGCTTGCGCACAGTAGGTGCTTCACATGCTCCCGGCGAGTGCGAATGAATGACGGAAATCAAAACGGGAGAGACCTCCGTTGACCTAGGAAAATGACAGGATGTTTTCCATTCTGGGAGCCCCAGTGGATGACTCCTCCCAACCCCAGCCAGATAAATCTCACTCCCAAACTCAGGAGCCTATGAATTTCCACTTTTGCTATTTTTCAACACCTGAACTTGGTTTTTATTTTAAACCTTGATTCCACCTGGGGGTGGGGGGCTTCATCTCAGCCACTGGTGACCTCACGCTTGGCTGGGACAAAGTCGCCCTGTGTAACCATGTGTATCCTTAGTCACTCAACAAAGCAAGAGGACTATTTGCTGTGGGAGCCGTGCAGCCTGGCACTCTGGCCCCGACTCAGCCTTCGGAAAAGGCCTTTGCATATAGTGGCTAAAAGAGAAGTTCACTACAGCCCTTCCAGGCTTGGCATCCCCTTTCTAGTCCCCTGTGACAGACAGACAGGAATGCTACCCAGCTGGCATGAGCATGCTGTCAAATTCTGATCAGTCAGAATTTGTGCTGTTTTTGTAACAAGTGGGTCCATCAGAAGGCCTAGGAGGGAGGGGGTGGGAGGAGGTGCAGGGCACATTGTGTCTCCCACCGGCAAAGAAATGAGAAGGTGAGCATTATATCAAGGAGGCCCCTGGTGGTTTTGAGTAAAGAGGCTGCAAGGACACCAGGGGTCCTCTTCCAACAGCAATGTAGGGCTGAACCGTGGCCTTACTGATAAGGGCTCCTGGCTGCCCCACAACTCTGGGTAGTCATCGGGAGATGCATTTATTAAAAGAAGACCGAGTGGCTGGAAGATCACTTTGGGAAAATGGTCAGGAACCCAGAGGTGCTGGGTGACCACACCGTTTGTCCAAGTCCCTCTCCAGGATTTGTGATTGGTGCCAAGCACACTGCTGCTCCCTGTGGCCAAGTGCACCTGCTGGGGCATCTGCTGGGTCTGGCTCCCCTTCCAGGGGATGGGGGCGGGGAGGGCACATTTCTGGCCTTTTAGGTTTCTGCAGAAAGAAGCAGTGTCTTGCCCTCCACCAAAATGGCTGATTCCTCAAAAGTGAGAAGGCCATCCTGGTGCTGGACCACCATAAAATAAAAATCATCCACAAGAATGATCAAGTGACCACTCAGCGACCCTAGATGTTTCTAGACCCTGTAGGCCTCTCTTTTGCTGAGAGAGAATAGTTATCGACCGTGTTAGTGTTGTTTTGATTCGTTTTATCCCCTTCCAGTGTTCCAACAGATTTCGAATTTTTGGAAGTAGGCTGTGGACACTGAAAAGATTCTTCCAATATCTCAGACAGCCTTGTGCCCCTTGTTCTCCGAGTATAAAAATGTATTTTTGCCGTGAAATCCACGGCCAGGCAGCTACCTGAACATTTGCTCTAGTAAACTGAAAGTTATTTTAACAAGGATTAATGTGTGGGGCCCCAGTTCTCGTAACAGATTTGCCAGAGTGAGACACTGGTCTGCATTTCACTCTTTATAATAAATGGCCAGGTGTGTAAACAACCGTTTGGAGAGTTGTCCATGGGTCAAGGCCAACTGTGGTTTGGGCAGGAGGGCAGTGACATGCCAAGAGGTGCCCGGGCTTGTGGGTTTACGGTTGGGCAACTTCACAATCAATGCCCTGGATGATGAAACAGGGAGTGTGCTTCTTTCAGTTAGACATGGTGTCCACCATGACGCATTGGAGACCAACATCAGAATTCAAGATGGCAGCATTCCTTGGTCCTGAACTGGAATTTCACATCCAATTGAACCCAAGAGTGACTCATGTACAGGGGCTCCATGAGGCTCCCTGGAGGGTGTTGGGAATGATCAAGCAGTGGGAAAATAGGCCCAGTGGGAATAAGGTTTGAGGTAAGTGGACTATCCTTCCCTCCTGGCCTGATTTATCCAGACTAGGCAAAGCTAGTCCGGTTCATGGAGGCCTGGCGCATGAAAAAGACTCCTGTCCTACAGTCCCTAATAATAGGCTGGCTGTCATCTCTGGGAAACAGCCTGACCTGGTGTCCCTGAAGGCTCAAGTGTGAGCTGGGGGGACTTTTAAGCAAGCCTGTGATTCTTTCCACAAGTGAGAGCCTCTCCACTCGTGAGCACCTGCCCCTGGCTGTCACGTGGTGTCCGCGAGGCGGCCTTCTGGGACAGTGCCTGGGGCCAGAGATACAACCTAGCCAGGGGCTCCGGGGTGCAGCTGCCCAAGCGAGAGGCTGACCAGCTAGCCTGGAGCCACCTCCCAGGCCCAGCTGCAGGGCTGGGTTTCCTGCAAACCACGATTCTGGAGCCTGGCAGCCAACCCCATGATGCGTGTTTATGGTTTTTACCGCACCCCAGGGATGGTCATGCGCCTCCCCGCCCCTGTGGCCTCAAGGTGGAGCGGGCCCAACATCTAGAGTTGCTATGATCTAGAAACACCAGCAGCTGCTTGTCCCCTAAAGTCTCCCAGCAGCTTTGAGCAGTCTGGGATGTTTGTTCATCTCTCCTGTAAACAGTTGTTTTCCCAGCGACTGCCCAGCCGGAGTTAAATATTAACAAAGACCCGCCTCCACAGCCGCTTACAGAGTGTCTGCTTTAAATATTTAAGTGACTGCTATTCTGTCCCTGAGCGGCTGTTTGGCTCAAGCTGTTCTTGCCTCCCTGCGTATTGAGTAGTATGAAATGTCAAACACTTCATTCCACTTTTTCTTTGCTCTGCTTGTGCCCTACCCTGTGCGCCGCCCCCCCCTCCCATTTCTCTCTTTCATTCTCTGGTACGAGGCTGCCTGTCCCACCTCCAGGTACGCTAAGGGAGTCAGTGGGTTCTAGGGCATTCTTCAATGAGGTTCTGTGGGCGTGCCCCAGGCTCCCTGGGGAGCAGGATGCTCTTCAGCGTTGGCACCTCTCAGGTGCTGGGCAGATGTGGACAGCCAGGGCACACCCCGCTGCCCTCTTTCCAATCTGGGCGTGCCTGAGTGTGGCATGGGCACACGTGTGCGCCCCTGTGCTCGCCCGCCCTGTGGGTTATGGAAATGCCATCACTGTGCATACAGCACCCTTCTCCCCATTTGCCCTCTTCATTCATGGGGGGGTTTGTGTGCGACATGGCAGTTTCTTCCAGAGGCTGATTATGAGCTCAGCAAAGAGGATTAAGAGCTCAGATGGCTGATGAAGCACACAGGGAGGCTGTGTGATCTTGGCCCCCGCAGCTGGAGAAGCTCGGAGGCCTCCCCACGAGGAGAATGGGTGAGACTGGCCAACCTTGGGTGGGTGGGCATGGAGCACCGGGGGCCCTTGGGAGTTGGGACTGTGCTGGGTGTTCCTGTCCCTGTGTGGCATTTGGTCATAACCGCAGACTTTGGAACATTCTCCTTGAAACCACAACTTTACCTGGACTCAGCTGTGAAAACTGTGGATGTAGCCCCAAACTGGCACTATGTGGGCGGCGTGAGGCAATGAGTGTCTTCAGATTCTGCATTCCTTGGTTGAGGGTTGGGATGAAAACAGCCCTGTAGCTCTCTATAGAGATGGGCAGGAAAGCCAATGGCCTCCCTTGTCCAGAGGAAGGGAAAGGAACTAGCCCCCCTAGCTGACTGAGGTCTGCTCTCCCGGCAAGGAGCCTGAGGAACCTCAGGTGGAAGACGGGAAAAGGGAAGACAGGGAATTGTCTTGTTTCAGCTTCAGCCAGAGATTTCTAACCTAGATTTGTGAGGTGCCCAGACAATTATGCATAGCCTAAAAGCTACTGAGATCTTCTCAAGGCTAAACGAATCTAAATTCCCTTTCGTTTCTCTCAAGAGCTACGGGCAAGCTCTCAGAATAAAACGAACTCCAATGCACTTTAATTTCCAAAAGAGATGTTCTTTTTTTTATGCACACCTTTTTAAAACAAGTACCTTTTTGTGAACAGGGAGAAGGGGTCTCGGTGGCCAAGTCGCAGTTCCCGCTTGGGCCAGCTGGGGCACCACCTGCGTCCTGGGGCCGCTTCCTGTGGGAGGAGCATCCTTCTAAGAGCACAGGTGTCACAGGCCTGCTTGGGAGTCCGGAGCTACCAGCTGTGTGGCCTCTCCGCATCTCATGGTGCTCATTTCTAAAGGGAGAAAATGGTACTGCTATCTCACAGTGCTCAAAGACATTGCCTTAGACCCTGTCCGGGAAGCGCGGGGCCTGGACATGGGAGGCCAGCTGCATATAAGCTCTAGCTACAGCCGTGCCTGCAAGCTGGAAAGCAGCCTTGTCTGGGGAAGCAGGATAGTGTCCAGGATGCAAAGGGGGATCAGCGGTAGAGGATGAGCGGGCTTCCGTGCAGGCTGGCCTGGATGCAGGGTCATTAGCAATCCAAAGATTTGAACACATGATTCTCTGTGCTGGTAAGCCAATGGATAGGTATGGACGGAGGAGGAAGAAAGGCAAAGCCCTCAGCGCAGAACATTGTCAGATGGAGGCTGGGGGCGGGTGGGCCCCATCCCTCCCTGAACCCCAGAGGGGCACAGACTGTGAGCTGGCAGGCTTGGGAGGGTGGTGGAGAGAAGTGCTGGAAAGGGCAGGACTAATTGGAAATCTGTTTATGAAGCTGCTAAGTCAGTGAGCCTCCCCGCCCCCTCAAAGCACAGAGCAATTACGACCTCAGGCCAAAAAAGGGCTCCTTTTTAGATAAATTGAACAAACTTCCCAAGAACTAGATTTCCAGTGTGGGCTGATTAGGTCTAAAGCTGTGCTTCTCAAAATATGTTCCTCCACCCGCAGCAGCATCACTTGGGAACTAACTAGAAAGGTAAATTCTCAGGCCCATCCCAGAACTTCTGAATAGGAAACTCTTTCCACTGGGGCCCATCCATTCCTGTTTTAACAACCATCCCAGAGACTGTGTTGAGAGTCACTGATCAGAGTACGGTTTCTCAACCTTAGTTGTCTATTGGAATCCTGGGAAACTTTTTTAAAATGCTGCTGCCTGGGCCTCATCCCCGCCCCCACCGCCCCTACACACA